TATATAGATGGAACCAAGTGAAAGTCTTTGTACATTTAGAAATAAAAGTTTCTAAAATCTGTAAACATTCTAAAATAGGTCATAGATGTGCCTTTTTCCAAGCTTAAACACACTTACCTTCTGCAAAGTGCATTGTGAAATCAGTAGAGCTGTTGTTTTTATCAGGCTTGGAACCAGAAAGAACCAGATCAGAGTTCCCATGTTTGACCACATCTTGAAGCACAGGACTAATCAAATGAGGCTGAACATGCCAAGATAGCAATCAGCCTGCCTTACCACTGCAATTTTGACTTCTGTTTGAAGTTGGTTGAAAGTGTCCTCTGCATAGACCGATGTCTCACACTTTGCCTGTTTAGAAAGATCAACATAAAAGGTTATTGATCAGCATGCATGGGCAAGCCCCACTGAAACTCTGAGTTGATGAATGACAGACAATAGTTGTTGACTAGACATGATCTGTGTGGAAGGTTACAAGCTGTGTTGTGGTTAGCTCTCCGTTAATGTCTGTTTTATTGATTTCTAAAATTGCTGGAAAACTGGAAGAGAATTCTCATGTATGAACAAATTCCAAATCCCAGTACAGGAACACGATGTTATCCAAGCGGAGTGGGACACAACATTACAGAAATACTACTACAGCAATAACCAACAGTCAATTTATGAGATTACTCAATGAATTTATATCTAGAAGCTCTGTTTAGACTTTCTGAGACAATGCTTTTCAATTTTTGTCAACCACATCATTGTAGCTAATCATTAAAAAACAATAGTAGCTATATTAGTAAAATTGGCATAACTAATATTGATTTGTAAATAACTGAATAATTAAATATTTTCGGTCTGGTACAAACTCTTAACTCTTTTATATCTCAGCAAATTTGCAAATGATTTATTAATGATATTTGGTGGGTCAAGAAGTCTGAGACCACATTTAAAATCTGGGATTATGGGAAATCCGATTCATTTCTGTGAATCGGTTCTTTCAGTTCAATGAACTGCTTAAAAAATGATTCAGTGATTCTATTACATCATCACGACGCTAACAAAGCCATATATATATATATATATGCACATATTGATGTTTACACCGATTTTCTCTATTAATAAGGGTGTTAATTGTAATTTCCCAATCCCAATTCCAGAATCCGCCCGTGAACGAATCGATTAATCAATTAATCAATCAATCAATCAAACTTTCTCGTAAAAAAAAAGGACTCTAACGATTCGGACATTGCTCTCAAAATCACCTACATTTGGCAATAAACAGATGTTTGCACATGTTTTTGCTTGCATTCTCGAATCGTGTTGGATAACAAGATCACGTTTTGCACAAACTGGATTTTATTCAGCTCTCACACGCTGCTGTCATTAAAACAAAAGTGGCAACAAATGCTAAGGCGTTCGGAAATTCATGTTAATTTTCAGTAAGCGTACACTCAAATTGTTGTACTGATCATGTAATTTGTAATTTAAAAAATGTAATTAAAGAAATGCAAATCAGAAACATGATCTAAAATGTCGATTCCTACTGTAAATCTACTTTACGTTTCTATATATAGCCTAGTTAGTAGTAGATTGTGCCATTCTATGCGACACGGGCCAGGATTGTACTTTAGTAATGTCGCCCGAGCTTTTATTTTGAAAATCGGCGTGTTTGTTGTCGCGGGCTTCGCGCTGCTGAATGAGGGAAGCGCGTGCGGCCAGGAGGCAGTCTATGGTAAACACACACAGCGTTGAGGGAGTGGAGAGGGTATGTCTGTGATGCCGAGAGACCGAAACAAAGCCACTACCGTCGACACGTAAAAGAGCCCATGTTTCTAACTGGACAACGATTAATTGTTTAGCTCACTCGATGTCAACACATTAGCGGCAGATGAGCCGTGGTCTGTTGACGGTTGCTCGTAGCATTAGCAGCGGCGCGGCGTGGTGCAGACCTAAGTTAGCCGACACTGTTAGCATCTGCTTGTTTTTACTCCCGTCTAATCTGACTATCCAAAACTGACTGTAAACACATAAATAGGACGTAGTTATGTATTTTCACTTGCGTGAAAACGATATAGCAATGATATCGCACGAGTGTGTGTGTGTGTGTTTGTTGCTAAGGGCCGTGTGAAGGTACTGTTTGTGTTTAGTCCGTCACGAAGGTGGATATACGTTACATGACGGTTGCAGCGAATTCAAACCGTTACCGCGGTTATTTTTAGTCAGCGCTTAGCTGAGATCTTTCCGTGGCTCAAAACGCACCGAGCTCCCTACCTAGACAGCGTTTTTGGCCCAACCGCACGTTAGGAATGCCTAAATAGGCGACTCGGGTGGTTTTGAGACGCTGCCCTTAAAGGGATAGACCTAGAAATGCGGTTTGTTACTCCAATATCGTTTCCAGAATTGATCACGTCTGTTGTTTTTTTGTTGAACTGCCCCTTTAAGACCGATGTGCTGTTTATATGTTGTTGCAGGCGCGTTTTGTTTTTTCAGGAGTGGGGTTTGGGTGGGTGTGTAAGTGGACACCAGTCCAGACTATGTTTGCATGGCTATATTTAAGTGCTGGACAGATAGAGGGGTGATAGTTTTACATGAGAAGTACAGTGCTGGGAGTTAAACTAGCTCCTGGCCTGCTGCACCTGTCACCAACCCCGCCGAATACAAATGTCTTGGGAATATATTTTTTTTATAGTATTGAGTGTGTGTAATAATTTGTTTCGGTGTCCTCTTCTCCTCCAGATTTTCTATTTTGTACATACATTATTTTGTATATACTGTTTATGATGACTTCAGTGGTCACTGATGCTGCCAGGGGCAATCGGGACAGAGCCCTACCACAAACCACACACACCTCACAGCCACAGAAACAGATACAGGTGAGCCGTACAGGGAGAAGAGAGGAGAGAAGGAAGGCAGAGGCCGCGGAGGTCCAAACAGACGTGGCCGAGGTGCCAGCCACAACCAGGAAGGTGTGTCTTTTTGTGTGCTTAGTGTGTACATGTCCTAACTTGCGTGTATGGTTTGTGTTTTAAGGCGAGGTGTCTAATGAGACACAATAATGAGCATAATAATGTTGTTGCGGTGATTGGAGATCAGGCGTACAGGCATTCACTGTTCTTGGACTGTTTTTTAGGGCGGTCGGAAGAGAACGGGTTTGATTCAGCTCCAGGAGTGAGAGGAGGAGACCGTGGGCGCAGAGGGAGAGGTAAGTGCATTATATGCACTCCAAGACATTACTGCTCACTAATACGCTGCTGCCCCCAGACAAGGTTTTTAAGTTGATTAGCTGCAAAAAACGAGCTGTCGATTATTCAGAAATATGTTGAAAACTAACACTACTAGAGGTCGACCGATAGTGGATTTTGCCGATACCGATAGCTAGCTTGGACCACACTGGCAGATATCGATTAATTAACCGATAGTTTTAAAATTTATACTGAACAAAAACTAAAATAGTGCTTTATTAACAAAACAGTACTGAACCACTAGTAGTAGTAGTAAAAAACAAAATAATAATAGTAAATGTTGAAATTAACACTCTAACAAGGAACAATACTTACACAGCTTTCATTAATCTTAATGCTACAGATGGACTCTTATTTTAAAGTGTTACCATTTAATTTCAACTGTCATGCTTAAAGACGCACATCTTTAAATATATACACAAAAGCTATAGCATTAAAATGATATACATATGGATATTGTATGTATACTCTCAGACTTGAACTGCTTCTATTCTTGAACACTTGATGATTATCTAATAAAACTAAAAGCGCAGCGCTGAGTCTAGGAGAACTCACCGGTATCACACACACTCCGGACGCATCGCGTTCAACTCGAGCAGCGGTCTAAAACAGTTTATTTAATCACCAAACAGACACAAGTTTACTTCAAGAATGAACAATTTGGCATGGATGAGTTTGAAGTTCGGTGTTTAAAAAACGGAGCAAACGGAAAGAGAAAGCGCGACCTATATTATAGCTCTATAAATGAAGCACACAGACTTTATTAGAGCCACAGAAAGACAAACAATTCATTATGTACATTAACAACGATTCGGGACCAATATAATGTAATTTAAAGGAAAACTATGTGAATGGCGCTCTGTAGCGCAGCAGGATTTTCTGTCGGCTGCATTTAAATCCGCGTCTGAAGTTCCCGCTCTGTTCAGCGTGCAGTATCTAGTGTCTAAACAAATAGCACGTTCTGTCAGTGATTTCAACCACTAGAGGCCGCTCTCGCACTGTAACGACAGCAGACCCTTCTTAGCCACTCCAGCAATGGACTTAACAACGATTCGGGACCAATATAATGTAATTTAAAGGAAAACTATGTGAATGGCGCTCTGTAGCGCAGCAGGATTTTCTGTCGGCTGCATTTAAATCCGCGTCTGAAGTTCCCGCTCTGTTCAGCGTGCAGTATCTAGTGTCTAAACAAATAGCACGTTCTGTCAGTGATTTCAACCACTAGAGGCCGCTCTCGCACTGTAACGACAGCAGACCCTTCTTAGCCACTCCAGCAATGGACTCAACCCGGAAAACTATCGGCATGGATTTTTGTCGATAACCGATAGTTCCAGCAATCAACTATCGGTCGACCTCTAAACACTACCATTCAAAAGATTGGGATTGGTAGGATTTTTTGTGTGTGTGTTTTTGATCAACATCTCATTTGTCCTAAAATACAGTAAAACAGTAAATATTGGGAAAAGTTATTACAATTTAAAATAACAGTTTTCCAGGTTAAATGTATTTAAGTGAATTTTCAGCTTAGAGCCACAGAAAGACAAACAATTCATTATGTACATTAACAACGATTCGGGACCAATATAATGTAATTTAAAGGAAAACTATGTGAATGGCGCTCTGTAGCGCAGCAGGATTTTCTGTCGGCTGCATTTAAATCCGCGTCTGAAGTTCCCGCTCTGTTCAGCGTGCAGTATCTAGTGTCTAAACAAATAGCACGTTCTGTCAGTGATTTCAACCACTAGAGGCCGCTCTCGCACTGTAACGACAGCAGACCCTTCTTAGCCACTCCAGCAATGGACTCAACCCGGAAAACTATCGGCATGGATTTTTGTCGATAACCGATAGTTCCAGCAATCAACTATCGGTACTATCGGTCGACCTCTAAACACTACCATTCAAAAGATTGGGATTGGTAGGATTTTTTGTGTGTGTGTTTTTGATCAACATCTCATTTGTCCTAAAATACAGTAAATATTGGGAAAAGTTATTACAATTTAAAATAACAGTTTTCCAGGTTAAATGTATTTAAGTGAATTTTCAGCATCATTACTCCAGTCTTTAGAGTCACATGATCCTTCAGAAATCATCCTAATATGATTTGCTGCTCAAACTTTTCTTTACACATTTACACTGGTACAAAAAAATCAGGGCCCATATTCACAAAACGTCGTGAGCCTAAAAGTAGCTCATAACTCACCAATTTAGGAGAAAATCTTAAACTCCAGCAATGGACTCAACCCGGAAAACTATCGGCATGGATTTTTGTCGATAACCGATAGTTCCAGCAATCAACTATCGGTCGACCTCTAAACACTACCATTCAAAAGATTGGGATTGGTAGGATTTTTTGTGTGTGTGTTTTTGATCAACATCTCATTTGTCCTAAAATACAGTAAATATTGGGAAAAGTTATTACAATTTAAAATAACAGTTTTCCAGGTTAAATGTATTTAAGTGAATTTTCAGCATCATTACTCCAGTCTTTAGAGTCACATGATCCTTCAGAAATCATCCTAATATGATTTGCTGCTCAAACTTTTCTTTACACATTTACACTGGTACAAAAAAAATCAGGGCCCATATTCACAAAACGTCGTGAGCCTAAAAGTAGCTCATAACTCACCAAATTTAGGAGAAAATCTTAAAAATAATGGCCGTGTCAGTCCTAAATTTAGGACTCCTAAATTTTTGTTCTAAGAGTATTTCACAAAGCGGTTTAGCACTAAAACTAGCTCCTAAATCTGTGAAACGTTAGGAGTAGTGAAGAGGACTCCTATGTCACTAAGACCAAGCCACAAACTATCCTAAAATGACTGTTGCCAGCAATCTACCTCGGAATATAAACATTTTAGAAACATTTGATGATAATTAGCTTTTAAAAAGGTATCTGCTTTGGTTTGGAGGTTATCCCAATTTTTGATTATGTCCTTGTTTTCATTAACCAGTTGGGCAAGCAACGGCTGTTCTCGCATCCAATTTTGTTTTCTTTTATGAATGCATGTCCTACTATCTGCCATGATTATTCTACTCTGTTAATTAAAAGGCTGTTTATATGCCTATTGACTAATTGTTTACGAGAAGCATACTTATAAGAGGCTGACAGTTAGCTGAATATATACTCAAAGGGGGTCATATGATGTTGCTAAAAAGAACATTATTTTGTGTATTTGGTGTAATGCAATGTTTATGCGGTTTAAGGTTCATAAAACACATTTTCCATATAATGTACATTATTGTTTCTCCTCTATGCCCCGCCTTTCTGAAACGCGTCGATTTTTACAAAGCTCATCATTCTAAAAAAGCGAGGTGTGCTCTGATTGGCCAGCTATCCAGTGCGTTGTGATTGGCCGAATGCCTCAAGTGTGTGACCGAAATGTTACGCCCCTTAGCATACTGTGATGCCGTCTCCCAGCAGGACGAGACAAAACCAATAAAACCCATTACAAATTAGGCATTTGTTGCATCCAGTGGGGACATAATTACTGATTATAAGGACTTGTACTGTCTTTTTACGCGTTGCGTATCGCGCATCAGTGGAAAATTAATTAAATATAAAAAACTTACTTACAGGCTGTGAGTCAGATGTAGTAAGGACATCGGTAAAACAGTCCATGTGACATCAGTGGCTCAACTTCAGTTTTGTGAAGCTACGAGAATACTTTTTGAGCGCAAAGAAAACAAAAATAAAAAAATTCAGCAATTCTTCTCCTCCGAGTTACGTCGTCCGCCATTTTAGAGAGTATCACAACACATATGCTTTCCCCTAAGTATGAACAACACTGATTACGCAGATTACGTTCATGTGCGCGCTTTCTCCCCCGAACGTAAACAATGCTGATTACGTCGATTATGCTCTCGGGTACTCTCCAAAATGGCGGAAGACGTAACTCGGGGGAGAAGAATTGTTCGATAAATTGTTATTTTTGTTTTCTTTGTGCTCAAAAAGTATTCTCGTAGCTTCTCGTAGCAAAACTGAAGTTGAGCCACTGATGTCACATGGACTGTTTTACCGATGTCCTTACTACGAATTTTCATTTTGGGGGGAACTAACCCTTTAAGAGACATGAGACAGAAGACAGGCCTTTCCGATGACTCTTTCCTGCCCCATTCTTGCTCCCTCACTCACCATCTTCCCCTCTCGAGTTGCAGCTGCTTTAAACAACTCATTCGTCACATTTAGTGCCCTACAAACGTTGCTCAGAGTGACACAAATAGCAACAGATAGCAGTCTGAGATAGCAGAACTTGCTTTAAGCATAAAGGTTCCAAAGAAGAACCAACAAAATGCAATAGAAAAAACGTTTTGGGTTCACCAAAGAACATTTCAATTAACAGTTCTTAAAAAACAAAAACACTATTTTTATTATTGTGAAGAACTTTAGTTTTCCACTCAAAAGAATCTTTAGTGCACTGGAGAGTTTCCATGGATGTTAAAAGTTTCTCATATATCATAAACATGATACATATTTCCAAATATCATACACATGATAGTTGTTACTGTGGACAACTACATATTAGTGGTTACAGTTCTCTGGTCAACTGTGGTCAAAAATCAACTTCTCAGCCACTTATTCTGCACCAGTAAAAACGCTATTCAAACTCTGCAAATTGACTCTGTTT